CCGAAGCCGAAGACACACAAGGCTCTGCGATACGATTTAAATTTCTTGCGGAGCGTGCGCGATATATATATATATATATATATATATATATATATATATATATATATGTACGTATCGTCATCAAATTCGATGAACGTCGCTTCAAGGAAATTTTATATTGCGTGATCGTCGAGATAAAAATATTTGTCGCGTTTCTCTTCAATCACACGGTGGCTGGCTCACCTAAGAGTAAATATATTTGCATACTAAATCGCTAATTTAAGCGCGTTTCAGATTCATGACATTTTCACAGTTCTTGACTAATAATTTCTTACAGCGTATTTAATTCGAGATGTTCCGCCTCTCCCAATTGTATATTTAATTAAATTACATGTATATTTTGTCGTGAAACAATTTAAGCGTATTTAGATGCAAACTGCGATCGTAAAAGTGTGTGTTAGGTAATATAATTCACGGTATTTTATTTCGTATTTCGCGAAAAATATTGCGCTATTATCTTTCGCTGGAATTAACGATTGATTTATTGCATTCCGTTATACATTTAATATTTATTTAAAATTGCAATACCGTTATAATATCGCGACGTTCTGATGAAATTCCGAGGAAAGAGATGAAATTCTATTTTATTTTCAAACATTATCAGAGATATCCGACGCAAGCAAGTGTAAAGAAAAATAAAAGAAAAGAACGGCTCTTGTTTTTATCGTCGAACTGTCTCGAATTCGCTTAAAGTATATGCCTTTATCTCGCACGTGAATATATATAATATATATATATAACACATAAGTAGATATCCTTATCACAAGGTGTAATGTACAAACCAACCGTTCGTATCGGCCGCTGACGTCACTCTGTCTATAAAGGTGTTTCTGCTTGGGGAGAGATAATGTTTTTCGTTGTCGAGTTGCGCGTTAAAGTTATGCAACTGTCATAATTGTGAGAGAGAAAGTGACTGCGGAGAACGATGAGAAAATAGGAGGCATCCTGGTAAAGAATGCTTCATCGGACAAAGGGAAATACGTCATGCCCGGATATGAAAGAAGCAAAATCTCGAATGAGAGAAGAGATCCGAAATATCAGTCTAGAAGGGAAAGAGGGACAGAAATAGCAAACTATGTAAATTTCATCGGCGCAGAGCCAGTTGTGTAAATAAATATTGTAACAGTATCTCTCGTGGGAAATTTATACGGTTTTCTTATCGGAGATTGTCAAATTGATTTTATATCTGTTTTTATATTCCTTCACAATATCCTTGATATTTATTAAAAAGAATCCCGCACCAAATACAAAGAACTTTGGCTTTCGATAGAATTGTTTGTGTGAAATTGACTTAGGATCTGCTGAACAAAAATGTAATAGGCTCGAAAGGCTAATACTGATTTACAGCTAGTAAATACGAAAAACTTGGGCTCTACGAGTTGTTTAACAAGCTGTAAATCCATACAGCTGTGACGCTGTTACATTTTTTGTTTAGGAGATCATAAGCTATGACATATGAGAAAACAAGCTGATTTTACCGAGATTCAATTTTACATCTTTTATTCAGCAGGAAATGAGCTTGACAACATATGAAAAAATGGTCAATTCCACCGAAAATTAAAATCCTATATGTATTTGTTGCGGGGTCCTTTTCTCATAGAAAATTAAAATTCAATAAGCAGTGATCTACCAAATTCGTTGGAGCGAGAGATTCGGAAATCGTTTTGTTCGACCAAGTAAGGCTCTGTCGCGGTTGAAAACGTGGCGATGAATCCGGGAGTATCTTTCGAGAGCAATGACGTCACTCTCTCTCGCGATCACTACTCGTCTATCATTGTTTCTTTCCCTCTCGGATGCGAGAGAAGTCAATTGCCTCTCTGCCCTTCTTCGGAGACCCTTTCGTTTAGAAGCCGCTCGTTCGTTTCCACGCGTGCATTACAAAGCAGCGGAGGCGGCCGTTTAATCGTCGCTGTTCAACAGTGGCCGCTCTGTGTCGAGATTCCCGCATCTCTGCTTCTGCGACAAAACCTAAGAGACAGCGTTTAAACGCTCGATACATCACCGACCGTGTCACGTTCTTACCGCGTCGTTAAATTCAGCGCAGATGCCAGGAGGATAATAAACTTCTTATACGCGCTATCAAAGAAATTTACATTTCGTTCTCGCTCTTTAGTTTCTCGTCTCTCGACTTTTGCTCTAGAATTGAATTATTTAATAATTTATTATTACATGTTAAAACAGTGTTAGAACAAGAATCAAAATAATTTAAAAAATATAACTTTACAAATTAATTTAATTTTCCATCTATACATTTTGTCATCAAGTACTTTAATATAAATTTAGATTTCAAAAATAATTTTTATATATACAATTATATTTCGCGACTCGAAAAGAAACTGCATACAAAATGCACGAAACCCTCTGATGAAATAAACGCAGTTGCATATCAACTATTATAATAATTATTGCATTCTGGCGAGAACAATGATCGCGTTACATATGTCTGAAAAGTGAGTTTCCATCTCGCGAGATCGCTTTCGCGAGAAAAAAAATCGGGTTATCCGCGGATTCTTCGAGTCATTCGCGCGATGCATCTTCTCTCCTTCTCTCTCTCTCTTTCGCGATTTTACGCGACTCGGTGAACGCACCGGCGCGTCGCGCCGCCCATTGACTTTTGATTCACTGGGTATGTGGGTCGGTACCAAGTGCCGCTCTCATTGCCAGAGAGTGGGTCGTCGGCTAGTGATGGGCCTGAGACCCACGCGTGCACCGGCACATCGGATATCCGAAGGCGCGAGTTGTTCGGCAAAGATTTACGAGACATTAAGGATATTAATATCAAATTGCATTCGATCGAGAAAGCAATAAAATAAGAATGAAATAAACGGGCGTGATATATACTCTCTCTCTCGAGCCTTATACGAATTAAAGGTAACTCTGCACCACGCGAATGTTCAAAGTTCTCGTCGTTCTCAGGAGCAGATGCGTGGAATACCTGAAGTCACGAACGATAAAATCGCGAATTAACTTCATTTTGTTACGCTTGTCATCGCTAAATATCCTCAGCTTTTATAGATCCTCGAGCTAATAAGTAACTTTTCAAGGACCCATCGACGATTTCTCGCACTGAACTCGAGTTCTGAGAGACGCAGACATAGCGGATCTATCCAATCTTTCTTTTGTGACTTTTTCGATCATCCATTATATATCGAAACATTTTATTTATTTCAAGAAACTTGAAAAAATTAATTTAGATGCAATGTGTATTGGTTTTTTGTTATATGTATATCATACATATTTGCATTTCTTTCTCACAAAGTAGACAAAATTATGTATTCATCTTGTCAAAATTATTACAGACTTTGCAAAAAACATATATATATATTTTAGAAAAAAGTTGTTATAAGATGCAGTTTCGATAGCCCAAATAATCAGGATATTATTGTAGCCTCAAGGATTTTAAACTGGTTTAAAAACTGTGCGCGGGCATTATATATTATATATGTATGAAGACAGTAATTCGCCTCCTTTTATCGGAGAGCGATATTTCGAAAGATTCGCGAAATCCAGCCATCGAGAAATGAGAGAAAGTGAGCACGCAAATGCAAGTCGTGCGAAACACAAAGAACATGAAGAAAATATCAGTTGTTTCTTAATATTATAATGTTGTAAATGGACCGTTTTTTATCTCGAACAATTTTTGATTGGCTGTACATTTATAAATTTTTTTAATCTTCCATGGATAAGATTAGAGCTTTTTGTGCACCACATGATATCAATTAACTAAAATTAAATAAAAATACGAAGCAATATTAAGAATTTACTTTTAACAACGTTCCTTCAAATTTTTATTCGTCCATCGATTCAAGGCACTTTTTCATATTTTCAATTATAGATCTCTTTCTATTTCATTATTCCTCGCACGTCCCAGAATTAAATAAACGCGCGCATCGAATTTCTATATTTCTGCGTCACCTTATATGTGTTTTATTACGTCGTCAATTATCGCTGTCTGACTCTCGAAACTCGTTCTAGCAAATGACGATTTATTTATTTCCTCAGCAAATGATGATTTATTTATTTCTAAGGTAACGGCACGGTTCGCTGGACTCGTATTATAAATCATTAATGAAAAAGCGCTCGGTTTGACGTGGCTGGAGATATTTCGGAAGATCGATCTGTCGATTATGCGTCCAAAATATACGCGACGCAAATTAAACGCGATTAGTTGCGCGTCGAGCAATGCCGGCTTTTTTATGCCATATATATTATATATCTAATATACATTGAACCGAGACTGTCGAAAAGTCAAGCGTATCAAGATTAAGAAAAGAGAGCAAAAAGATAAAGAGAACTCGCGCGTATAAAATAAAGAAAATTCCCAATTGACCGCCAAGTCGTAGCGTTCACTTCGAGATAAAAATTCATAGACACGGAAATACTGCACCAGATACATATATCGAGATTAACCAGAGAACGCACATACATAAGAAGTGCTATATACACATATATTTAAATGCGTCGATATATAAATATTTTATTTCGCTAAAATATTTTTTTAAAAATTTAAAAAATATATAATAAATATATATTAAAAGAATGTACATTTATCAGACAAAAAAATAAAATAATCTTGCATATAGAAAAATATCGGTCGCATTTCGCCCTTGTCACGTGTCTACCTTGGAAATAAATACCGCGTATCTCGCCGCAATATCCCGAATTCGGTGACGATCTCTCGACGACGCCCTCGCGGAGGAAGAATCAAGATATCCGGAGATACACACACACATATACATATATATATATATGTGTATATATATCCTCAATCATTCGTACAACGCGTGGCATCGAGAAATCGATGGGGAAAGGAGCCTGGGGCCAGGTCGTCGAACCCGTTCGCGCGAACTAACGAGAACGAACGGGCGCATATATCTCTCTCTCTCTCTCTTCCTCCCATTTTTTATTTTACTTTATAAAAGACGAGGCGCATGCAAAAAAAATCGTGCTTGAGGACTTACTTTAGCCGCTGGTTCGACGCCGGCTTCGTCGCCTTGTCTCCTCGGACGGCGACGCGCTCGACTTTCTTGCTAGCCGCGGGTCTTCTTGCGCTGAAGAGCGACGCGACCGCGTCTCTTTTTCGCCCTGTGCTCGGTGCTGGTCTCGCTGGTGTCGGTGCCGCTGCAGTTGCCGGCTCCGCGGGTTTCGCCCTGAAATTCGCATTAATTGTCCGTGATTAAATCAGGGATTGATATATATATATATATATTTTTTTTTCTTAATTTGACGGAGGCATTGACCGCGGCGAGACTAATTGGCCGAGTAGCGCGATGCGCTCTCATTCTGTCCGGCGTGTTTCGGGCGAAGAACGGATCGCGGTCGTAAAAAAAAAAAAAAAATGCCGACCCCGAGGCGCCGGATTAATAATTAACTCGTTAGATACTAATAATGGCACGTACATATATTTGCGCCGCTCAATTAAAAATTTATTCATATATCGTTCTGATATTGCACGATATATAAATCGAATTAATGACTAATTAAGATGGACCGCCAGGGAAGATGCATTGCAGCTCTCTCTTATCCAATTATATACATGTGCGGAATATTAAATTATATACAAGTAATTTATAGTATAGAGATTAATTATATATTAGATTAATGTATCTCTCACGGAGCTTATCCTTATTTTATTTAATTCATTCAGCGATTCTATTGTTTTACTGTGCGCCCTCAATACGATAATTATATTAAATACAATATATAATTAAAATTGAGAATGTGTAATAAGACAACCAAATCACAAAAACGAATATTCAATAATAAACTCTGTGATGTATATGAATCATTAAAGAAATAAATAATTAATATAATTCTTCTATATTCTAATATTCTAATGAATAATTAATCTAACTCTTAAAATGCTTGTATAATTTAATATTCCGCGTAAATCTTGCGGAGAATAGTACATATATTAACGAACATTTGATATATCTTTTTCTTACTTGAATATACTAAATAATAGCCATAATATTCTTGCATGATATTGTAAGAGTTAATCAATTGTGCGAGCTGACAATTATTAATTGTAATAATAAAGAGTAAAATCGCGATTTAAAATACAACATATGAAGAGATACTGCTTCTTTAAGGTTCGCAGAATGAAAGACAAGGCCAAGGCCCAAGATCACGCTATTATAAACAACACGCAAAACACAAACGCTAAACGTGTGAAAGTTAATTTGTCGTCTCTATTTAATACACGGAATATTTTATATATGTACTTCTTCAATTTTTAATGAATATGATCAATTTGATTACGGTAAATATTGTTCCGGTTCAAACTTAAAAACTTCGTGTATTACTACTTCTTAATTCAAAAATGATTACAAGTTACATTTAAATCGACGAAAAATATAATTTTCATTCGTGTCACGCACACTTTGATTTCTGTTTCAAACGAATATATCACAAAAATACTTGTCTTAATAAATAATTCTTGTCTCGAAACGTTACGAGAATTGTCAATCGTGAAAGTTAATTAATCATTCGCGTCGAACAATTGGATTATATTCGCACGATTATGTATGTATGTATATCGACATGACAATTAGTTATTTCATTGCTATTTCATTCATTAGATATTTTCAATTAAAATAAAAATAGAAATTGAAGTGTGTGACAAGAGATGAATTATAGATTATTGTTTCATTGCGATTGTAGCGTTAATTATATATTTTTTCGATTTCAACTATACACTTTGCTTCGTGCTTTAAATATTTTGTCGAAATTTAAATGTAATTTATTAATGATATTTAAATAATTAACATAGCAATAATAAGTGAATCGTAAAATTGATTGATTGAAAAAATAAAAAGTCGTGATTTAATATCGATTATTAAAATTAAAAACTCAAACTCTCATTCTCTCTCTCTGCACATACAACTACATAAAAATATTATGGTGTAACTTCTCAAAATATATTTTGTCTCGAATCTAGCAATGCATATTGTCACATTTCCGAAGCAATCATTCTTTAATGTTTTTATTTCACTTAATCACGATTGTGTGTGTGTTTTTATGATAACAGATTCGTATCAATTGCTTGATAATAATACTTAATAATATTTCACGAGGTTGACGCATCAAAAATCTATTATGCCTTTGCAATACTAAATACGAATTTTGATTATACTTCTTGACAGCCTGTCGCATCATTAATTCTATTTGCGTATATCATAACACAGAGTATCGATATGTAACAATAGCATGGCCTTAACCTTGTCATTCATACGACGACATTCGAGCGAATAAGTGTGACATGAATCTCGCTTTACGTTTCTCGTCGTACTTACTTTTCGAAACACAATCATTCTCTAAATTTTTATCATCAGTTCACGTAATCGATTAATTCTTATGATAAACGAATCATCTGTGATATATCAACTGTTTATGATATATATAATAATACAATCATTCGCGAGACTTACACATCGAAAATTTTAAATTCCTGCAATAGATATTTAATTTCAATTATATATTTAATAATGATTTATCGTATCATTAAACAAGACACGAGGCGCATTTAGTTCAATAGTCCGTTATTATTTGATTTTTAATATTTTAATATTAAACATATATATAACTATACTTTACTTTACATCGTTGTATCTTCTCAAAATATCTTTCGCGATTTATTCGATCAAAATCGTGCAAACAATCCGGTATTTAGAATATTTATTTTAAATTTTAATTTAATTTTTTTATTCGTTTAATCTAATTATGCGTTAATCTAATTTAATACGAGATCAAATTGTTTTAAAAGATGCAGATATTATTCATTAGCGATAAAAAATATACGAGTGTCGTCGAGTGAATATAAGTGGATTCTTGATGTATATTTTCGCATTACTTTTTCATTTTTCATAATAAAATACATATTGCAATTAGAATATATCGGCAGTGCATGCAAAGCATCACGCGATCGTTACATATTGCTAATCGTAATTACGCATGTTTTGTTGCGTGTGTGAGTGATATGAAAATGCATCAACGGATGAAGAAGAAAAAAAGGAAAGGAAGAAAAATCAGCTTGGACATAGATATCGGACGATGGTGGAAATGAGCAATTTATAAATTATTTAATTTATACAATTGTCCGTTTAAAATTCATATTCTTCAAAAATTTATATTTCAAATAAAAACTTACTTTGGCAATCTATTTTATTAAATGTCTAAAGGCGAATAAAAAATATGTATGCGTGCAATAATTAACTTTTCAAATATCAATTCTCTCAGATATTCTGCTTCATGTGTTACATATAACTATAATTTATTCAATTTCTAAAGAAATAATAGTTCGAAAATTTCCAACATACACGTAACTTGACTTGCCTCTCTTTCAAGAATTTTAAGATCGTATCGCTTTCACACATAAATTCGCGCCCACGAATGACGAATATACATATATACGTGACATAAACAATCGATATGCAATCCGTAATTTCGTTGCATAATAAAAAATCGGAGGCGGCGAACGATCGCTCGCCCATTCGCCCGCACGCTCGATAATGATCAGTGTCCAGTATATACGAACGCGGGAAAGCCGTTGAATTTCTAGTTACGCAAGGAATCAATAGGATATAATACGCGTTACGTAATCTTGCCGTGCGCGCATTAACGCAACGCGATTGCCGAGGAGTATGCGTTATACGCGGTGCAGGTGATTAACGGGGAAAAAGGGAATTATTGCGTAACGCACGTGTGCGTGCGTACCCGCGCCGTTAACGTTTCCCTCGCGGGAATAATTAAGAGAGACGGTGGCGGCCGGTTTCACGCACCGATGCTAATTTCGTTATCGCGTCTTCTCGGCGGCTAAGTTATAATCGAGAAAATAACGCGCGCGGAGGAAGGAAGACGCGCCTCGTCGATGATTGCCTAATGACACGATGCCGAGAACATTTCTCGGCTTAATTTCCTATATTGATTATTTTTTCATCGTATTTCAAAGCGAATACTCCTCGGTGATAAATGTAGAAATATTGTCACTCGTATTAAAAAAAAGTTAATAAAATTAATTAATTAAAAATAAATTAATACGTTTATACAGGGAGAGAATTTTCTCTTAGAATTTACCCTGAAAATTATGGTAATCAAATTTTATAAGAGTTTCTCTGATTAATATTTACCATGCAATACAAATATTAATATATATGTACATGGTAAAATTAATCGAACATATTTTTTATATTTTATTGAGGTAGATCTTATAAAATTGTTTCAATATACCATATATTGTCCCATGACTATCATTTTTTTCAGGATAAATTCTAAGAGAAAATTCTCTCTGTGTAGAAATTATGTATACATACATATATATACGCATAATCATACAATCGTATATGTTTGTGCCTGTTTGATCATTATCATAAAAATTAGCATTTTTGAAAAATGAATTCTGTCATCGAGGATATCGAGAGGATCAAGATCGCGTTTGGAAAGAATCAGGGATAAGAGTCGGGACGATTGAGAATCCGATTCGACGAGTTTATCGCATCCAGTATCTCGGCCGACTGATGAGGTCAGTTCGATCGCTGACCGTTGGTCAATGCCCTCTCGTCAGATCCGTTTGTTGCGAACGAACGAACGATCGATCGATCGATCGATCGATCAGCAGACGCGAAACAGATTGATTTCGTTCTAAGCGGCATTGCCGTAATCCGCACTTGATTAACAACGCTCACCTGGCATTACGTAAATTATGAGCGATTTGTCGTGTCGTCGATAGAAATCGCAAATCGTATTTCGTGTCGATGAAAAAATATACGGAGATATGTCAGATAATTAATTTATACGAGAGAAAAAAATTTGAATATTTTAATCAATATACGTAAAATGAAATAATTAAATTAAATCTTTTTATATATAAGTATAATTATGTCCACTAAATTATTATGTAAAAATATGTATGTATGTATATATATATAATATAAAATATATATGACCCTGAATCTGAAATTACTGGCTTATTCTTTATTGGACTCGATCTTCTGTCAAATTGTGGGAGGTTCTTTCAATTCTATTGTATGATTATGCAAGAAGAAACGACGCGAAAATTTGAAAAGAAACCAATGTAAGATTACAGAAAAGCTTTTTATGAAAATAACATCAGGTCGCATTGTCGAGAACATTCATTTTAAATTTTAATTTTTTTTGTAGCAAAAGGGAAAAAAGAAAAATCCTGTTTGAATAGTGCCACCGAATTCCTAATTCTCAGATACATCAAAGATACTGTCACGGCCTATATTTGTTCAAATCCATATATAGGTATTATATACATATATATAATGTGTTTAATACAATTTTATAAAATTATACATATATATACAATATACATACATTATATATTTTTAACAAAGAATTAAATTTTATTACATAATTTCATTGTACGATATATTATTTATTAAGAAACTAAATGTCTGCCAAAAATTAATATTTTAATGTTCCTCATAATTGTCATGGAAGATATGTCAAAGCTAAATTATACGCTTTTCTCATCGCGTGTGTATACATATTTCGATTATTATATAAATCAAGGAAAATATATGATGCTGCGGGACTGAATCATCGCTCGCGTGCACGTACGTTAAAAAAGTTTACGTGCGCATTTTCAGACTTCTACGATGTTTATCGCAGGTAGAAGAGCAAGTTTCTTAGAGGACGGTCGTTTGAATCTCACGATAATAATGCCGGCTCTCTCGCAACACGTGCGTGCACTCGTTTATCTCCGTTACGTGACGTTTCGCTCTCTCGTCTCCGAGAATTGGATTTTAAGTGATAAAACGCGACGTAAATTTATACACGAGAATGTCCAGTAACCCTACCTGTAGTGCGATAACGTGGCATTACTAAGAGAAATGCGAGACACCTTGCACCTACCTATTATTAATCCAATAAAATTGTACGTTAATATATTCCACGAAGAAACTTATATACGTATACCTTCCACGGAAAGATTCATTTATTGTTCACAAGCAAATGATCAAACTATTATTTAATAATTCCTTCATTTGTAAACTGCATTTTTTGCTGATCTATTATGATATCGCAAAATTTAATTAAAATGTAAAAAAATAATTGATTTCTTTAATATTTTAAAATAATTTGTATCAAAGACAAATTTGTATAAACACAAATTTAATAAGTGCCGATGGATACAAAAAATAATTTGAGGAAGGATAGGAATAATGTAAAAAGAAGGGAAGGGGACACCCGGGTTTGAACCGGGGACCTCTCGATCTGCAGTCGAATGCTCTACCACTGAGCTATATCCCCGATTAAGATCGCCCCTTTTAAATAATGTTTTTCATAGCTTCAACAAAGCACAATTAAATTTTATAATACTCATGCAATTTTATCGTTATCTTAGATCAATAAGTAGATAGCCAATGCGTACACATAAAATATAAAAGAGAGAAAAAACATTTTGTAATGATAAGAACTTGGAATTTTAATTTAATGAGATATTAGTACGATAAAATTTCATTGTAAAATATATATATATGTAAAAACGAACCTCAAAAAATTTTAACATCTTTCACTGCTAAAATTTGCAAATTTTATGCTTTCTAATTTTATGTATTTCCAATAATTCTCAAATTTTAATATTGGCCAAAATATTTTGCAATTAATACATACGTATATAGGGTTGGACAATTTTCCCACGCATTGAATAATAAAATCCATCGACGAGTGAAATGTGGCGCCAACGAGGTTCGTCGAGTCGCGATGAAAAATTCCCAGAAGCAAAAGTTAGAAGTGTCATCTGCGTAATGGCAGATGAATAACGGATTTCTCGGAAAAATAACCGGTTTCCCGAAGCGTGATGTACAAGAATACCGTGATACTATGTCGCCTATATTATGATTACGATAATGAGCGGCTCTTATTGCTACGCTATACACGACGATGAAATTTAGCATGCCAGCGTCCTCTGCATCGCTTCTCGTTCACTACTAAGAACCGGTTTCGATACGAGATCGATAATACAGGATTTTGTAAAAATTCCGTCATATATTTACACTCGCACGCATTTTGTAAAATAATAACATATGTTGGATGCAGTTATAAAAATTGCTTGTCGCGTTTAGAGTTCCATTTATCCTTTTTGGGCAATTAAAATTTAAAGAAATTCAATTATTTACAACTGAATATTATTTATAATATTATTAATTAAATATTAATTTTTACACATATATAAAGCTGTGTGTATAAATAAAAAGTATATATATTGATAATATAGAACTTTTTGTACTGAATTATTTATTAGCGCGATAAGCAATTTTTATGACAATTCTTAACGAATATTAATGCACTTACTGTTTTTCGCTGGATTTTTTCGTAATCGATATAGTATTTTGCGTGATCCGTTTAAACGGTGCCCGCCCGCCCGAATTCGCGGACATCCCGCTTCGAGTCTGAAAAAAAATGACATATTTTTCAATGAGTATCTGTTAATTATGAGTTCCTTTGCGATGCAAAGCATTTTCGAATCGAATGAACAACTATATATTAAGCCCTAACAATAATTTGAATTAACGTCGAAAATCCTGACACAGTACGATAAGTGATACAAATAAAATTTAATATAATTAAATTCACACATCGAGTTGCGAAAATTGGTTTTAATGAAACGCAATCTTCTGTATTATAATATGTAATATTTGTATTTAATAAGCGCAAAAATGTCTATCTTTATTGCACGAGGAACAATTCATAACGCGAATAGAATGTAATAAGAAATAAAACAAATATATAATTTTGCGCATTCTTATTTTAATTATTAAAGTAGGAAGAAATTAAATAATAAGAAAAACTCGACATTTTACGATCGATTTCCTGCAGAAATACTGAACAAGAAAATGATTAAAAAAATATTGCTCGTGCAGATAACGCAATCTTCGACGCGATAATATTCTTGCAAGAAAAAAAAAGAGATCACGGAAATTATCTTCCGCAGAAATAAACAATCAGAAAGGGGGTGTGATCGCAAAAATGCATTAACACGCACCGTTTCACGTGCGTCGTAAAGAGGCGACAAGCGTGGTATAAATTGTTTTTTAAAAAATTGTATTGTATCACGCTGGATTGTCAAACGCACGGATGCGATTTTGTAATAAAAAGCGGGATGTATATCACCGGTGTTTTTGCGAGGACTCAATTCGCTTCTCTTTCGCGCGTGCGACACACGTGTAATTATCCTGGACGAGTATTAAACGAAAATAAAAATAATTATTAGCGGCCGCGCGCCAACTATAACGTTTCCGTGACGCTCTAATTCAGCCGTGATTTATATTACGATGATCGGATAAGTAATCGAATTGCCATAACGGTGACAGGTCTCGAATTGATTTAGAAATATATGCATAATATAGTTAGTCACATTTTGAGAATATTACATATATTATAATTTTATCTTAATAATATTACATGATACACTCTGTCATAATTAATCTTTTTACTGACTATTCTTGTTTTTCATGTGTAAAATTGATGTAATATTAAGGATAACTAATATATATTGATTAATTAATAGTATAATTAATCTAATTTTTAGGTATAATTTATTAAAAATTATATTTAATTGCATCTAATTGTGTCTAATTTTCGCGATAGTGCATGAACAAATTAAATAAATTTCTCTCCTAGATAAGATAAAATTGGGTTATCACATTAAAGATATATCAGTGAATTCTTTGTAAGCAAATTCAAGTGTCTCGCAATAATTTAATGAGAATCAAATGTACTTAATTTATCATATTTATTTACAAACTCGTATAATATTGTATTTTATGTAAATTTTTTCAAACAAAATTTTATGGCTTATTAGTTGTAACCTTCAATGGATACGATCGTGAACCATTTATTTTATCATTGTCTTATCTCTCTCATCATTACATTGTATATCACATGATAAATAAGCCCAAACATTTCATGCATCAGTACGTATTATTTTTGAAAAAAATCAATGCATCATGTTATTCTTGCGGAAATTATATGTATATATTGAACATCTAAAAGAGATATACAAACATATATCCGACATGTAAATGTATAAATAAAGTATTACCGAATTTCCACCCAGTGCATCTAGAAATTGGCGAATCATTTTGAATAGTAAATAAAATTGCACATAGAAATCACTGTCTTACACACACTCTATACATCCTACACACATTCGTCTCACGTTACACGTTACGTGAAAAGATGTCTGTCTTTTCCACATCTATTATTAAGTCATTATATCGACGCGTATTCACACATTACTTCGCGTGCGAGAGAATCAAATTAAATCAAATGCGTTCCTTCGAGAGCGGCACTTCGATACTTTCTAAAGAATTGCTTTCGCGCGTTAATAAAAGCATCGACAAAAAAAATATATCGTTGAATCTGCGTAAACTGTTATTTCGTGATTTGTGCATAACACGAAAAATGCACACCGATAACGAACCGTGCAAAATATTATTTCGGAGCAAGCGTAGATCTTACACCGACACCCGAGGAAGTTCGAACGAAGACTGACGGAATTCGAACCGGTAAGATAAGAATTAAGTTGCTTATGATAAGCTAGAAAATATCTACAGGTAACTCTACGTTCACTCGACACTCGACCACATATAACGAAACATCTACTCGATTTTTTTCATTAATAATAATTTTTATTGATTTAAATAATCAATTTAAAATCGATTTTTTATTTCATATTTAAAATTTTTTATTTCATATTTTTGATTTTTTTATTAATAAATTTTTATTGATATAAATAATCTTTAATTTAAAATCGATATTACGTTTCTTTAAATTTTCATTAAATATAGACATTTAATGAAGACTTAAGCAAACTCGATTTTAAATCAACGATTACATTTATATGAATAAGAATGAAAAATCTAGATATTTAATAAAGATTTAAGGAAATGTAAAAAAATCACCTAAAATTTATATCAATTAACAGCTTTCCTGCTATCATTGTCGGATCGATTTTTGACATCTGAGCAACACCTTTCCGATCCCAATCGCTCCGATCGTTCGCGCACGACCGCGAGCATTATATTGGTCCCGCGAAAAACATGCCGGCGGTTTCGTGTAGCAGGATTTTTAACCGCCGCGGATACCACAACATCAGGCGATCGGAAGGCCATACGTCCGTATACATGCGTATACCTTGCGAAGGTTCATCGAACCTCGAGCGCACGTACCGGGTTCTCTCGGCCAATAATAAAGATGCACGCCCGGTACGTAACTACGCTCTGTACATACGTACATAAGTACTACCCTGCATCCGTACCCTCTTTCTCTTTCTCTCTCTATGTCTCTCTCGCTGTGGAATACTCAAAGCGTATACGGGGTGTCTCGAATTCGCCGCGTCTCCGATCAAAGAGTCATAGAATCGGGTAAAAAAAAGGACAAAAGGGATTAATTTGACTTTAATGCGTCGGTAGTTCAAACTTGAACGTGTCGTTCATCATTACATTATTCGGTTAGTTTTCTTGGTTTTAATTAACTCTTAATTTCATCCTCATAAATGTAGAGTCATTTATTTTGTTGATCGCGGAGTAAAAAAAATGAAGTATTGCAATGTTATAGAGCACAATTATCGTGATGGGAGTGCAAATTATCCGGTCCAGCGAAATTATACAATGTTATGTAAATTGAATTATTTTCGGATTCGAACTGTTCTTCGATCGGAATGGAATTTCTGAATCGCTACATTCTCGGCACGACTTTTCGAAACCAGGATCGTATCATTCTCGAACCGTTACATTCTCGGATCACGGATTCTAGGTTGCACAACGTCCCGGGATCGTGTGTGTGTGTTACATCCTTGCGATTCTCGTATCGCGAATTGCAGCATCTCCGGACTCCTCGCGTCCTTGGAATATCGATCTTATCAATTCTCCCTCATTTCCCTCGATCTATCTCGGATTTCGACTCAAGAATCAATTTCGATAATAGATATACGCGATTCACGCAGGTATTCACAATCAGCGATATTCAAGGAGACCGTATATAAGTAACACATAACATAGATGAATCCTCTCTAACTGTAAATAATTGTTATATCTGTAATTTTCACGAAATTCCAGATTGATCAAAGACACAAAAGTTGTGCACAATCAAGTATTATTAAAATTTAATTTCAACGGTGAAGCACTTTGACACTGAAAATTTCTTTATGAGAGAAATAATTTTTACCACAATTATTATCTATATCGTGCGCTTTTACCTATAATAATTAATAGTTCGAAAACAACAAAAATTAAAAATTTTTCAAAACAAATCAACTATCGTCGAAATCGCCTGAATTTTCCTCGGGAAATTCTTACATGCGACACCCCGTATACGACATGTATGTATGCCTACTTACTTAGTTAGTGACGATCGCGTCGCGTGTTTCTCTCAACGACACGGACGCAGGAATTGGAATTCCTACGAAACGGATCATTGGCTCTCCGATGACGGTCCGTTCATGATCGCGATAAAAAATCGATAGAGACGTCGAGTTGGAGCGCGTAATAAGTTGCAAAAACGTAAAAAAATACCGTTTTGCGCCGCCGCACGATAATAACGGGATGAACCAAGTGTTTTTATGTATTTATTTTGCTGTACACGCTTTATGATTATTCGCAATTACGTCGATGCATTAAAATTATTCTAATTGCGACATCATCAATCTTGGCGCGCTGTCAATGCCCTTGTAAATGTTATTATTCTTTTATTCTCGTAAAATGAAAATCGATATTAAGGATCTTAAGCGATTAGATTAGAATTTTTCAAAATTAATAAACGATTCCAGTGAAAGAAATATCGATAAAGAAATTCGAAAAATTTTAAATCTAAAATAATAGCACGCGTAAAAACTCATACGGTATTTGGGATGATTTAATTGCATAACAATTTTTCCAAAGATGCACAAAAAAATCATTTACGTTATTTCAAGGGATACTACCGGATATGCATCGGAGATGATGATTATTACTTGCATTATCAGCAACGAGGCGAATCGTTGTCGTTGTCGCTCAAGATTTTTTCGCTTTTAACCACAGGGCGTGGCGGCGATAGGTCTTTTGCCTACACTTTGCCTACACTTTGTCGGCAACGACAGCGGTAATAACAGCGAGACGCGTGTTACGCTGGGCTGTGAGAGACACACGTGAGAGAAATATTATATTTTCTCTCCACTCATTTTTTTTCTCGCTTTATCCGAGTATACATTCAATTTACATTATTTTTTATCAAAAAATATATAAAGTGCTGAAAAAGATCTTTACACGAAGAAAATTTTCTCTTAAAATTTATCCTGAAACACATGGAATCATGGGACAATATATTGAGAAAAGTATTAAGTATTCTGATTAAAAATATTTATCGCAATAGTAAATTTACTATGCACATAGTAAAATTAATCAAACATATT